CCTGTCCTGTCTCTATGGCGGGCAAGCAGGTGTCCCAGCCGCTTCCCACATCATTGACTCTTCGCTGTTCAAAAGTCATCCATGGCTCCCCGGTGCCCTCACCATGGAGCCCACACTCCTCTGCTTGGCATTCCTCATTTGGCACCTGGAAACCTCACCCACCTTTCCCTCAGCCCTCGGTTCCTCCCCCACCGGCAGTCTGGGCTCTGGCTTTAAACCAACTGTGTCTTGAGATGCTGTTCTCTCTCGCCTCAAGACCTCTGCTTCTGCTGGCCCATTTGGTCTGTATGCCTTGGAGACACTTACTCATTCTTCAAGCACTGAGATCCCCTCCACATTCAGCAGGCACAGCCCTAGTGGGTCATCCCCCTCTGCTCCCTCTGGTCCCTTTGCCCTCCCTCTGCCACAAGCTAACCATGGGGCGGGGCAGATCTGACCCTGGACCCCCCACTTGCTTAGCCCGGGAGCACATAGCATCTCTGGGACCCCGGGATCAATCATCACGCATTGGTTTATGGCGTTCTTGTTGGACGAATGCATGAGCCCAATGAGTCTATCAGCAAATGTGGGACATATTTCAAACACTCCGACTCAGCAACCGAAACTTGCTCGTCTTCATTTCTTCTCATATTCTAGCCACGGAAACACTCCTACCCTTCCCTAACTGTGCAGCCCCTTTCGTGTCCAGAACTCAGTACATCCTTCTCTCCTCCCCTCCCTTTTCCTTGACTCCCACCCTGCTTGGCAAAACTTCCTGCTCATCCTTCAAACCCGATTCCCAGGTGTCCTCCTCTGTGAAACTTGCCAACACGCGGGATGAGTCCTCTAGTGGTTCCTCCTTCCTGCTTCTATTCCCTGATCATGTGGCCCTGGGTTTTGCCCCAGATTCAGCCAACCCTGCGAGCAGTGCATTGAGAAAGCGAAATATCCTTCAGAGGTGCCTGGGTGGCTCAGTCGGTTGAGTGTCCACCTCTTGATTTGGGCTCAGATCGTGATCTCACGCTTTGTGAGATCGAGTCCCGCATCGGGCTCTGCGGAATATGCTTGGGAGTTTCTCTCTCCCTTTCTCTCTCTTTGTCCCTCCTCCACTTGTGCGTGTGCTCTCTCTCTCTCTCTCTCTCTCAAAATAAATAAATAAACTTTTAAAAAAACTCTTGCTACTGTTGGTGGGAATGCAAACCAGCGCGGCCGCTCTGGAAAACAGCGCAGAGGCCCTTCAAAAAATTAAAAATAGAACTACCCTACGACCCAGCAATTGCACTACTAGGAATTTGCCCAAGGGATACAGGAGTGCTGATGCATAGGGGCACTTGTACCCCAATGTTTATAGCAGCACTTTCAACAGTAGCCAAATGATGGAAACAGCCTAAATGTCCATCAACTGACGAATGCATAAAGAAAATGTGGTTTACATATACAATGGAATACTACTTGGCAATGAAAAAGAATGAAATCTGGCCACTTGCAACAACACGGATGGAACTAAAGGGTATTATGCTAAGAGAAATAAGTCAGTCAGAGAAAGACAAATACCATATGATTTCACTCATACGTGGAATTTGAGAAACTTAACAGATGATCATGAGGGAAGGGAAGGAAAAATAAGATAAAAACACAGAGGGAAGCAACCACAAGAGACTCTTAAGTATAGAGAACAGACTGGGGGTTGATGGGGGGGGCGGGGGAGAGGGAAAAGTGGGGGATGGGCATGAAGGAGGGCACTTGTTGGGATGAGTACTGGGTGTTGTATGTAAGTGATGGATCATTGGGTTCTATTTCCTGAAGCCAACACTATACTGTATGTTGGCTAACTTCAGAATTAAAAAAAATAACAAAAAAAATATTGCTACATATTTTGTCTTCATTTATATACCTCGAGCAAACACATGCTTTTAAAGAGCTTTGTGGTATTTCGCCAGAACGTGCTGAGCCCTCACAGGTTGGTGAAAGTGTTATGGCTTCCTTTTTATTTATTCATTCATTTATTGCAGTTACAAATGACTCAGACAGGACTTTGTACATAAATTTTGTTCACCATTGGGATTATCTCTGTGATGCAAGTTCCTGGAGGTTCAATGACCGAGTGGGGGCGGTGAAGGTGCTAGATGTACATCTACATCTCAACACAACTTGACACATTGCACACAGAATGCTGCGAGATAGGAGCGTGCCCGCATTTGCTGCAAAACAAACTCGGTTTTATAATTACTGATTTGAGAAGTCAAAAAAGAAAAGATCTTATTATTTTCTAGTTGGCTGCTTATTATTTATGTATATGTAACAATTATTGTTATATCATATAAGATATACTATATTATATACAGCATATAATACACAATATGTAATAAATACATTATATCTTATGAATATTATATATGTGTGTATATCATATACCAAATAATAAATATATTATTGTATAATATAAAATATTATACATTGTGTATGTGTATTATATACAATATGTATATACAATTCTATCAGAAGCTGGCAAACCATGGCCCTGTACCAATTCTATCCAATGTCTTCTTTTGCATGGCTTGCGAGCTAAGAATGACATTTGTGCTTTTAAATGGTTAAAAAAGGGGCGCCTGGGTGGCGCAGTCGGTTAAGCGTCCGACTTCAGCCAGGTCACGATCTCGCGGTCCGGGAGTTTGAGCCCCGCGTCGGGCTCTGGGCTGATGGCTCAGAGCCTGGAGCCTGTTTCCGATTCTGTGTCTCCCTGTCTCTCTGCCCCTCCCCCGTTCAGGCTCTGTCTCTCTCTGTCCCAAAAATAAATAAACGTTGAAAAAAAAAAATTAAAAAAAAAAAATAAAATAAATGGTTAAAAAAAAATAAAACAAGAATGGTATCTTGTGACACGTGAAAGTTACATGAAATGCACATTTCAGTGTCCACAGATAGAGTTTTATTGCCACACGGCCCCCCTCATTTGCTTATATACCATCTGTGGCTGCTTTCCAGGTACAATGGCAGAGCGGAGTCCTTTCCACAGGGATCGTATGGCCCCCAAAGCCAAACATATTTAACATCTGGCGTCTACAGCAGACCTTTGCCAACCCCTGACCTATATGACTGATTAGCTCTGCTGATGGGTTCGGGCTACTCAGAAGTGTTTTAGAGGAGAGAATCTTGGGGAGACCCTTTATAACCTAATCTGCATTCAATTCCTTAAGTTCTGGTGGTTTTGCCAGAGCCTTTTCTTTTCTTTTTAATTTTTTTAATGTTTATTTATTTTTGAGAGACAGAGAGAGAGAGAGAGACAGAGAGAGAGAGAGACAGAGAGAGACAGAGTGCAAGCGGGGGAGGGGCAGCGAGAGAGGGAGACCCAGAATCCGAAGCAGGCTCCAGGCTCCGAGCTGTCGGCCCAGAGCCCGACGCGGGGCTCGAACTCAAGGACTGTGAGATCGTGACCTGAGCCAAAGCCGGACGCTTTAACCGACTGAACCCCCCACGTGCCCCTGCCAGAGCCTTTGTGATAGAAGAGAAAATATCCAAGTGTGTTCACACCAGGGAAAGGTAACTACTATTTTGTGAAACTTTTGTTTCGGTTTGATAAGTACCTGGAAATGCAGGTGATGACGCTGTGGACATCTGGTATGTGTCACAGCCATGTCTCCTGCGCCCTGGAAGTGTCCCCCACTCACTCAATTGGCTGCATTTAGAGGCAGGCTGAAGGGAGGCTCCCTGAACGCTCCTCCCCGAATCCACGCACAGAGGAGCGTTTCGCGTAGGCATGTGCGGCTAGACTGGGGTCTCAGCCCAGCCCTACGGCAGCCCTTTCTCGGTGCCTTCTCTGGGGCCCCCACCTCAGGGTGGACTGCCAGGGACTCCAGGGAGAAGGGTCCCACACCCCAAACCTCTTCTCCACCTCGGAGACTGGCACGTTCAGCCCCCTCCCGTTTTTCAGGCAAGAGCACTGAGGACCAGAGTCAGTATCTCTGTCCAGGAGGAGCAAGAAACAGGGAGACCACAGAGAAGCCCTGAATCTCAAACTTCCGTGCCCCTCCCCCCGGCTCTGGAAAGCGGTGGGGTCAAAGTAACAGGGCAAGAGTGAGGGAGGCATCTGGGACTGAGCTCCCAATCCCCAAGCCCCCAAAACATCTCCTGGACCCACCAAGTTCAAATCCTAGCTCTAAGTGCCACAGTGACCCCGGGCATATCTTTCGCCTCCCCTTTGACTGAGCGCCCTCAGTATGCGCAGGGCACAGAGCAAAGCACGTTGCCTGCACCACCCACCGACCGTCCCAGAAGCTCCAGGGCCAAGGGCGGCCTGCCTCATTCACCGCAGTCTCCCCAGCACCCCGCAGGAGGAGAGGCACGGCCACATGAATCTCCGGCCGCTTGCGTCTTCTAAGCTTTCCTGAAATGCCACTGCCATCCAGGCATTTTGAGCCCTTCCGATATGGCCTCATACCAAGGATGGGGGGAAAGAGGACTACTGTGCCCAGAACTGAGGGGTCCCCGGGACATGAGACTTCCGATGCTGAAACCAGGATAGTCCCCAGCAAACTGGAATGAGTTGGTCAACCTAAGCTGGGGGAACAGCTGAGAACAAAATAGACACAGCCGTCTCCTCCAGGAAGCCCTTCCTGATCCATCCCTCTGCCACTGGCTCATGGATCACCTCTGCCCTCCCCGCTCCCCAAGGCTGCCCCCACACCTCCCATTAGAGCACCATCACCCTGTCTTGCGAATGCCTGGAGTCCCATGCGTGTCGTCCGCTCCAGGGGAACAGGGAGCCTGGCTATTTTCCTGGTCACTGCTGCGTTGCCAAAACCTACCACAGATGCCCCATGAATGAACAAAGGCCAGCACTCCTTGCCTAACAGACGGACGAAAGCTCAGAGAGGTGAACGCTCCAGCAGGATTCTCCAGCGGCCGTGTAGAGAAGCCGGGGTTTGAACCCCCCCGTCCCGCGAGACCGCTGCCCCCAGCCCGCTCACCGTGTTGTAGAACTCGGCCACCAGCTCCGAGTGCTGAAAGTTACTCTCGCACCAGTCCACCTCGGAGCTCTGGTAGGCGAAGATGCTGGGCATCCTGACGTGGCGCCCGCTGCCCACTGGCTGAGTCTGGCGGAGAGCAGCATGAGAGCCTAGGAGGGCCGGGCCGGGTGAGACGGGCAGAGGGCAGCTGTTGCTCCACAGCAGGGAGGAAAAACCTGCCGAACCGCTCCCCGGTTGCACCAGGACGGCTTACCTGTGCGGTGGCGGTGGCAGCTGCCCTGGGCAGAAGCCGAGGGGCTGGCACCATCCAGGCAGGGCACGGGATGGCCAGATCATGGGCCTCCCGTCCCTACCCATGCGGAGTGGGAGTTAGGGGTCTGGTACGAGAACGGTGATTTAAAATATTAATGAGCCCCTGGAGATGAGTACCCTGGCTACCCCCGCTTTGGAGGCGGGCAGACGGAGGCAGAGAGAGAAGCCACCTGCCGAAGGCACGCAAGGTGAAAACGCCACGACGTGGAAACAGGCAGCTGAGTCCAGACTCTAGGCTCTTACCCATTAGGCTGAACTACGTCCACGCTGTCAAAGCTCTGTGCTGCTTGTCGCCACACCGGGGGCAAGGGCAGCACACCCAGCCCGAGGGGCTTGGCTCAGCTCCCTTGTCGTCCTTGGCTGTGTAACCTTGCCCTATCATTTCTCCTCTGGGGGCCTTGGTCTTCCTGTTTGTGCTATGGGAAGGCGGGGCTGGATTGAAGCCATTTCTCTCGGGTGGTCAAAACTACGCCCAGAGTGTCCCAGCTTCTACCAGGGGCCACCTGCAAAACCCCCATGAAGGGAGGGATCTGCAGAGTTCCAAGTCTGGGGGTCCCTGGGCCTGGCTTCCAAGGGCTGTGGCAAGCTCTGGTTTTGGAGTCAGCAAGGCCTGAGTTTGAATTCTGACTTCCTCCCCTTCCTAAGCTGTGTGACCTCCTGGGCAAGTGAATCCACCTCTCTGAGCCTCAGTTTGCTCATCTGTAACACTAGGAGGGTGGTGGTAGGCCCAGGCACACAGAGATAAAGCCAGTCAAGAGCTTAGCTCAGTGCCTGGCCCAATGTGGGCCCAAGAGAAATGGCAAAATGGGTTTTCTTATTGTAGCCGATCTCGAACTTTAAGGCAACCCGTGGGAATAGTAGTAACAGTGGTACATTTTACTGACTACTTACTGGTGCCAGGCTCTTTCCTAAGTGCTTAGCATTCAGTATTATTTCATTGAATGTTCTTGGCATCTTACCGTCTCCAGGTCACTGGCAAAGAAACGGAAGCCCAGAGAAGTTAAGTGATTTACTCAAGGTCACACAGCTCAAAAGTAGTGAGAGACTAGATCCACACTTCCCTCGTGTGTAAGATGGGAATAATAGGGGCGCCTGGGTGGCTCAGTCCGTTAAGCGTCCGACTTCAGCTCAGGTCACGATCTCGCGGTCCGTGAGTTTGAGCCCTGCGTCAGGCTCTGGGCTGATGGCTCAGAGCCTGGAGCCAGCTTCCGATTCTGTGTCTCCCTCTCTCTCTGCCCCTCCCCCGTTCATGCTCTGTCTCTCTCTGTCTCAAAAATAAATAAAAACGTTAAGATGGGAATAATAGTGCCTCTCAGAGCTGCTGTGCAAAGTTTGCCTTAACTGCTGGTGCATCCACTTCCCATTCATGGCAGGGAAATAAATTGATTTAAGCTTTATAATTCTGGGGGTGGTTATATGAATCTATACATGTGAAGAAATTGCACACACACACACACACACACACACACAGGAATGAATATAGCAGGTGTTGAGATCTCAATCAGTTCTGTAGATTAATCGATGTAAACGTCCTGATTGTGAAACTGTACACTGGAGAAAACTGAATATAGGGTACAGGAGACCTCTCTGTGAAATTTTTGCAACTTCTTGCGAGTGTACAATTATTCCAAAATAAAAGAGTTGTGTTTCTTTTTCATTAACTGATTTAGGTTTTCAATTGGAGGAAGAACGGATCAGCAGACGGTGGTATATCAACACAATGGAATATAAAGGAGCCTGCCTTATAGAAGGAAATCCTGGCACCTGTTACAACGTGGATGAACTTTGAGGACATTGTGTTCAATGAAATAAACCAGACACAAAACAACAAACACTGTCTGGTGTCCCTAGAGGCGTCCCGTCCACAGAGACAGAGAGTGGATGGTGGGAGCCAGGGGTGAGGCAGGGGGTGGGGAGTCCGTGTTTCATGGGGACAGAGTCTCAGTCTGGGGAGGTGAAAGTTCTGGAGACGGATGGTGGGCAGGGCCGTACCATTATATGGAAGTCCTTTATGCCACAGCTTAGCCATGCAAACCGTTTCAAAATGGTTCAGATGATCAACTTTAGGTTGTGCATATTTCACCACAGTTTTATTTATTTATTTTTTAAATTTTTTTAACGTTTTATTTATTTTTGAGACAGAGAGAGACAGAGCATGAACGGGGGAGGGGCAGAGAGAGAGGGAGACACAGAATTGGAAGCAGGCTCCAGGCTCCGAGCCATCAGCCCAGAGCCTGACGCGGGGCTCGAATTCACGGACCGTGAGATCGTGACCTGAGCCGAAGTCAGACGCTCAACCGACTGAGCCACCCAGGCACCCCACACCACAGTTTTAAAAAGCCAACGGTTTAGGTTTCTAAAGGGGGTTTTGTCTGATAAAACATCAATAAATAAGAGTTCAGGCAGAAGGTAGATAACATGAAAATCTTGAGGGTGGTCTGTGAAAGTCAGAAATTTGGGGACTACTGAGGCGCGTGCTCAGGGCCCAGCCCAGAGCCTAATGTGGCTGTTGTCACTGGTATACTCCTTGTTGTTATTATTATCCACAACTTGTCAGAGCTTCCATTTTCCACCCCCTGCCAGGTGCCCAGAGAGCTGCCTTCCAGATCCTCTGGGAAGACGGGAAAGATGCCAGGTTTGGAGATGAGATAAGTTCCCAGAGCCTGAATTAAAAGTGCTGCCCGAGTGGCTCTCTACTCCCCCAGAGCAGCTGGAATCCCACTGTCTAGCCATAGCCCTGGCCCCCAAATCCCCTCCCCAGGTGGGCCAGGAGAGCAAACATATACCAACCCCACCTCTCCCAGCCCAGCTGAACGCAGAGAGCCTGAGTCCCTGAAGGCGGGGGGGGGGGGGGGGGGGGGGGGGGGGGGGGGGGGGGGGGGGGGGGGGGGGCGAGGTGCAGGGGGTGGGATGCTGAGCACTCTGAGGCCCCTCCCTGTTCAAATCCAGGGCAGGGTACAACTGTCGGGATCTGGCCATCAGGGACCTCAGTGAAGGGTTTAGCAGCAGGAAGCAAGGTGGTGACAGGTGCCCACGTCCGGTCCAGCCTGGAGAGTTTGGGAAATCATCCTGCACAGAGCCGACTAGGAAAACAGCACAGCCAGATAAGTGTGTGATTTCTCTCTCTGCTAGGGAGAGAGACAGAGGCTAGCGTGTGCAAAGGGCCAGAGCCTGGGAGAAGGGGTGTATGAGTTCTGGGGGCTGCTTACAAATTAAGACAGTGGCTTAAAACAACACACACATATTATGCTACAGTTCTAGAGATCAGGAGTTTGAAATGAGTCTTATGGGGCTAAAATCAAGGTGTCCACTGGGCTGGCTCCTCCTGGAGGCTCTAGAGGAGAATCCATTCCTTGCCTTTTCCAGCTTCTAGAAGCTTCCCGCATTCTTTGGCTCGGCGGGGGGGG